ATCCCTTCACGGGTGGCCTCTTTTCCTTGTATACATTGTTCCAGGAGCGAAACCAACTTGCTCATCTCAAATAGCTTAACTTGCTGTTGAAACTGGGACCAAAAAAAAAAAAAATCAACTCCTGATATGGATGCCTAAAAGCAAAAATGAGCACCGGATGTGTGGGCAGAGTCAGTTCTTGCATTTATGGCTCAATAGTTTCATAAAGTTAACTAACTAAATCACACAATAACCAGCAAGGGCAAGCATATACACACCACACCTAAGCCCTAAAGATTTATTTATACCTCACGTTATTTTTAAAAATTACTCAAGGCAACCAAAGACATCCAATACTTCTATTTTCCCCCACAACACAAGGCCATGGAAAAAGACAGGTGCACAGCTTTTCAACCCTATGGACAGTCACAAGTGCTTATTAATAACAACTAGTTATGTACCAACACTGTATAACCAAAAAAATCTGGATTATTTTTGATCAGCTACAGTTTATCACAATGCACACACACACACACATTTGCTTTATTCCAAATAAATGGGATACTAGGTGGGCTGCAGATAAATTGAGTAAACAATAAATAATAATAAAGCAGGGGGCTGCTGAATGGGGATTCCTTTCCAGCCATCCTATGGACCGGTTACGAATCCTCAGCTTTTTTCAGGGAGCCCCTTCACTTTTTCCAGGCTTCCCCCCTTTTTCTTCCTAAAGACCCAGAGTTTATCCAGAGCAAGTCCAACCGCAGCAGGAAGGATTAAGGATTTTTCTTATCACTCCCCTTTTGGATTTCTCCCCCATCCTGGATGTATTAATATTAGAGCCTGGTCCTATTAATATTCTTGCCCTTCCAATGAAGGCCTCCTGGGGAGTTGGGGGGGGGGGCTTTCAGATCCCACCCCAGGGAAGCAGCCCATTTATTTGATTACCCCATCTGGAATTGCAATTGTGGCTAAAAGGAATCCCCCCAATTTTGCCAACTGATACCAACATAACTGACCTCTTTGCCTGCCCATCTCTTCCCAGAGCTTTACACCTCCCATGATCCCCAGCCAGGGCACCTCAAAAGCAGGGGGTTGGACTAGAAGACCTCCAAGGTCCCTTCCAACAGTTTTTTTTTTTAAACTGTCTGGACTAGAAGCCCCATCATCCCCAGTGCATCCCCCTCGCTGCCTCTCGTTTTGGACTGCAACTCCCATGATCCTCGCCCAGACCAGCACGATTCCCCCTCCTCCTCCTCCTGCTGCCTCACCCCCCCCAGCTCCTTGATCTACAAATCCCATGATCCTCGGCCGCTCACCCACCCGGTTAACCGCACCTCCCATCACCCTCGGCCCATCCTGAAGGAAGAGGGCGATCGGGGCTGGCCGAGACAGGGGAAAGGATGCAACAAGTGGCGGATCATGGGATTTGTAGTCCAAGGTTCCATTCCGTTTAATGACGCCATAGGTTTGAGCTCTTTTTCCCTCCGGAGCTTCGCCTGCCCGATCACCCCTCGGGGCGGCCCCCAATCTCACCTTCGCCGGCCGGGCGCAACGTCGCCTCCACCCGCCCCGATCACTTGATCCTGCTGCGGCGCCGACCGGATGCGGCGCTTTTATAGAGACCGCCGCGAACTTTCTGGAACGCCGCTGCCGTGACGTCACGACAGGCTCTAGAAACGTCTCGACGGAGCCTCGGCGGCCGTTGGGGGACGACCAATCGGCGCGCTGCGGGGCGAGAGCAAACGCGGCCACGCCCTCCTCGGCGGTCTTCTCGCGCCCGCCGCGAGGAAAAGCCCGCCTGAGCAGAGCCTGGGCTACGCCGCTGACGTAAAGGGGCACAAATTGGACACCGGCTGGCTCAGAAGCCACTTGGCTACGCTAGTGGCGTAGCGACGCCTCAGTGCTCCTGTGGGAAGACTTTTCCTCAAGAAATTTTTTGAAAATTCAGATTTGTTTTTTCAGGCAGTCCCACCGGGTGCTGACCCCTGAGTGATCCTGAGGAGGTCCAGGGCTTCAGGAAGGGTGAAAGAGGGTCTCGGGTCATTCCAATTTGCTCAGCCTGGCCTACCTCGCAAGGTTGTCTTGAACAAAAGTAGCGGTCTGCTTGGAGTGCTTCAAAGCAATGCAAACAGCTCCAAATAATAAGAACAATGACATGGAACTTTTTCCCAACAAAGAGACATTTTTAAAGGAATTGGATCCAATTGCATGGGGCTCTTCTGTTGCTACATAACACTGGATTGTCCAGAATAACATACAATCAATTCTAAATATATAATCTTTGACAGAAATTGGAACCGGCATTTCTAAGGGATGCGGCCATAAAGTGCAACGTCAAGTGCAAAGGCAATTCCAGCAGTTCTGGTTGCCGTTGTTAAGCGAAGACTTCCTGTAACCATGACTTGTGACTTCCTGCTGGCTTCCCCATTGACTTTGCTTGTAAAAATTTGGAAAATCATAATTATATGATGGCAGGGCCAGTGCAATTCAATGACACTGCAGTGGCCAGAATCCAGGGATCCAACTAAGAGCTCATTCAGTGCTGTTTGAATGATGACTGAATGGATAACTGAGGACTACCTGTATATTATTAGATCAACATCATCCAGGACAGATCTAGTTTGGGAATCTAGTTTTCTCCTTCAGGATACAAACTACACGCCCACAAAAACTGGCAGGGCAACCTGCTCCAAATAAACCAGCAGCTAACCCCACATCTACTGGCACTGATGATGGTGCCAAGTTGGGTAATAAGATGCTTACAAGCCAACCACCAATCTCAGCGCTGTCAAGAACGCCACAGTTCAACCTGGAGCTACCAATATTCTCTTCTATTGGAAGAAAATTTGGATGGCCCCCAGGCTTTTATTCTAGAATTAATCTGCAATTGCTTTATGAAAAACAGGATAATTATAAAAACAGCCCTGGAAGGAACCAGAGTCTCTGGAATTAAAAGGAAAAGTGCATGAAACAAATGATAATTTTGCCTTACTGCATGGCCATCAGCTTCTTTGGCTTCCTCGTTTTCTGTGGGAGTCTCACTAGGCTTTTTGTCCTCTGCATTGGACTCCTTACTTTTTTTCTCTTCATTGGACTGATCTTTGGATTTTTTATCTTCTGATGATGATTGCCCAGAATTTTTTTTATCGTCTTTGGACTCCATGACTTTTTTTATGCATAAAAGTGGAGAAAAGATATAGATATTATCACAAGCAAAGCAAAAGGTTGTGTTGATCACAAAGGAAGGTCAAAGATCTCGAGATGTTGGCCACCTTGGTGTGTGTGGAAATCTGTTTTTATGTGCAATGCAAGAGCTTGAAGCTGTATCTTGACTTTTTTTTGACCACACCCAATGGATATCCGTTAAGTAAAATGGGTTTAATTAAAAATAAATTAAGTTTTTATAGAGCAGCAACCCCAGCAATTCTATCATTTTGGCAAGGAACGTACCTGCATTGACTGTGACAATTCATCTAATGAGTGAAATGCCGGAAGACATTTTGGCAACTTGGGAAGTAGAAGATGGAACAGTGGTGATCATTTAGGAGAGGTTGCTGAATTTTAGGAGAGAAAAGAAGCTGAAAAGTTTCATCCTTTCACCACCACAGAATTTTCCACCTATTTTTTCCTCTAGCCAACTGTCAAATGGAACCCATGGAATGTTGCTATCCTTAGTCTTTATCGTTGCTTAGGAACACTTAGTTTTTTTCTGCAGGTCTCATGTTCCTCTTTCTTCCATCATAGCATTGGACAATTCAGGAGGGCTCCAAGCTTCAGATGGTCCACAAACTTTTCTGGGATCTTCCAAACTTCCTTTAATTTCCAGAAATAACCTGATGCTTTATTCTAGTTTTGGGAAAATCTAGAACTGGGAATGTACACCTCAAAAGAGGCTTAGCACAATCACAAAAATAATTTAATATCATCCATTTTTAATTCATGCCACTGTCAAGTAATTTTACAACAATGATCATCCCAGTATAATGTCAGCAGGGTGCATTTCTGCAGAGTTTATTTAAACCCTAGGAAAAATAAAATTGAAAAAAACCTATTCTTTTTCTTCTGCTTAATAAAAAGCTGCCTTTTTTACATTCTAGGGTCACCCAAACTCCTTGTCAATCTCACCCAAAATTAGATGTGGCTTCCAGTCTTTAAAAAAGCAGGTCATTTTTGTTTTATCAGATCTTAATTTGTACATTGGCTGAAGGGCATAAATACACTTTTTGGAAGAGTGAACTGTATTTTTGTACATTATTACAATTTATTAGTTTCTAAAATGGAGAAGACTGATCAAAGTTCTTAGAACTTAGAACTTTGGCCCTGGGGAAGACTTTTGAGAATATCCCAAAGGTGTTTCACTTTCTCATCCAAGAAGCTGCTTTAGTTCTGAAAAAGCTTCTTGGTTGAGAAATGAAACATCTTCAAAGAAAAACCAAGAAAGTCCAGATGCCTCTTGAAAAAGCACCCTTGGGACAACCATGACAAGGATAACTGAGGTTCTCCTTTGACTTTTGAGAATACCATGGACAACCAAGAAACAAATAGATGGATCATTGAATCAATCAACCCAGAATTTTTACTCAAGGATGAAATGACCAGGTTCAAATTATCTTGTTTGGAACATATTAAAAGCTGGAAAAGGCTCTGATGCTGGGAAAGATGGAAGGAAAGTGAAAAAGAAGGCAACCAGAAGCAGGGTGGTGGGACTCAGTTATAATGGTGATGGGGGCACACTTGGAAGATCGGAAGGACCAAGTTGGGGATAGATCATCATCAAGAAAATCTAGAGATGTGGTCATTAAGAATCAACACCGATTTAATGAGATTTTCTCACGATTAGCAGCAAACAGCAGGAAACCAGAATGGAAGGTATAGGATCAGGTTACCAGCATTCTGCTTAATTTAATTTGATTTGATTTGATTTACTTTAATTTGATTTCTATATCTATCTGTGCCTTAAGAACCCCCAGTGAGGCCCTCTTCCAGGTCCCCCCAACCAAGGAAGGTGAGTTCAAATGTAGAAGAGGAAGAGCTTTTTCTGTGGTGGCCCCCTGGTTGATAGAAACCTTCCCCAGAAAGACTCACCTAGCAGCATTTGGGTCCCAGATAAAGGCCCTTTTATTTTCACCTTTATTTAATTGGCGTTTTATTTGTGTTGCCTTGTCACTGCTGAACTTGTAGTGTGTTCTTCATTTTATCTGCCTAGGTTTTTATTCCCACTGTTTTGGTTATGGTGTTTTTTGCAAACTAACCTGAGAGCTTCAGAGATGGGGTGGTTTAAAGTTTGAGTGAATGAATGAATGAATGAAAGAAATTGTTATCTGTGCAAGGGAGAATTAAAAATTCCGAAAGCCAAATCTTGATTTCACAATAAATTGCATACACTGCAGTGGCCGAAATGCTTTTGTGGCCACATCGTCCCTTCTTTCCAGAAATGTAACTTCTTCCAGGGTCTCTATCCGTGACTCCGACACTTCCAGTTTCTCCTTTGTGCCAAGGGATGACTGGCCACAAACGTCATTGAGATTCTTCTCACGGACAAGGAAAAAAACACTGAATGAAAGGAAAGTTTGTCCCCGCTGAACACGAAGGAGTTTCCCAGCAAGTTGACCAGGAAGAGCTTTGGAGACCCTCAATCTTTCTCACTGCACCTCTGGGCCAAGTTGATGTCCATTGGATTCTTAACTAAAATCTGCAGTTTGTCTCTGGAGCTAAGTAGAATTGATGCCACTCTGCTTGTCTGCAAAGAACTGGGTCAGTTTGACTGGGTCTCTGAAGAAAGAACTGTAGCAGGACAAAAGAGGCCAGAAATAAAGGAATCAGGTAAAATAATGCCTGGAGAAATTGCTTTTTTCTTAAAAAATGGAAGCTGCGTTGTATAGGTGCTTGTTTAGAAATAAGGATGTCAGGACTGTAATGCATCAAACAGATAATACCTTTTTTTTTTTTTTAATTTCAAAAGACTAGGGGAAAAGTTTTGACCCACATCTTGTTTGTTTGAGTTGCATTTGGGCAGCAAGAAAGTTTTGTCCTTCCGGAATGGCAACTTCTTGACAACTTTTTTTGACTTATCTTTTGACAAATTGAAGATAAAACAATTCAATGGGCTAAAATATAGGAATGCACGAATGTGTTTTCTATAACAGCAGTAAAGATTGGGCTGAAACAGGATGGGGGAGTGTAAGCTGAATTCTGAAATAGAGAATAAGTGCAGCTTTTTGTATGAAAGGAAAATGACATTCCAAAAAAGATACGGAGTTGCAAAACTTGCTATTGGGAAAAATAAGATTTTTTTGTATTCTTTTGTTTGCAAAGAATAATTTCCCTTGTGAAAAAAAGAGGAAATGCTGATGTGCTAAACTCATTTATCTATAGAACTTGCTTGGGAGAATATTGTTCTATGTTTCTACCCTGCTTTTAGATAAAAAATACTGCCTGCTGTGATTTGTCTTTTCAGAACTTTGAGCCTCTGCAAACTACTAACCACCAGAGTTTAAAGGGAGTTTTAAAATTTCCTTCCTTTCGCAGAAATTTGTCAGAAGTCCAGAGCATCGGAAAAGATTCTGGAATGAGTTTGGAAAAAGATTCAGGTAAATGAATATCGGGATGAATTTGAATTGATTTATTTATGATACATTGAAGTAGATTGAAGATGGAACTAAATCTACTTTTGGGACAATGATGCATGAATTTCTATCTTGCATATTGCAAAAGCTCCCATCCTGAAGAGTCTGAACTTGATTTGTTTTCCTTGCAGATGTTTCATTACCAAACTAGGTAATATCATCAGTGTCAGAGGTGAATGGGGTTCTTGCATTTCCTTCTGGCACTGATGATGTTACTTACTTGGGTAATGAAACATCTACAAGAAAACAACCAAGCTCAGAGAGCCCCAAGGGCCCCACACTTCTACCCTGAGCTATGAATAGTGTCCTTTATTGACTCCTGTTCTGTTTTATAAATCAGTAAAATCAGAATCCTCTTGGCTGTAGGATTACGATATAGAAAGATTGTTTCTGGAAGAAAACAAGTTGTAGACCAGTGATTCTCAACCTGTGGGTCGGGACCCCATTTGGGGTCGAACGACCATTTCACGGGGGTCGCCAAACAACGCAGTCCGCCATTTCCCCCCCCTTTTCCTTAGCTGTGCTACTCCCTTTTATTCTATTGGCTTTTGAAAGCCAATAGAATAGACTCTCTTGAATAGAGTCTAATTCTATTGGCTTTCAGAAGCCAATAGGAATTGTCCAGGCTGTCTCTGCCCTGCTGAGCCCGCCAAAAGTCCCCTTCTGCAAACGGCGCTGCACCAGTTGAGTAGTCCTCGACTTACGCCCGGTTGAGTAGTCTTCAACTTATGACCGGTTGGGGGTGGTGGCATTAAAAAGGTTGAGAACCACTGTTCTAGAGGAAAGTTGTCTCTTTTATCCTCCTTGCAAATACCTATTTGGTACCAGTGAAAAAAGTGGAGCTAATACAGCTGGACTTTAGAGGGTTTTTCATCTCCGGATGTCACAGCATAATCTGCACTTGTTTCCTAGCGCCTCTCTGGATCACAACAGTAGACGGGCAGGTGAAGCTACGAAGAGACCCCACCTGCTCACAAGCGCCGATGACAGTTCACCAGATGTTCCTAGAATCTCTAGAGAAATACAAGTCTCTCAACGCATTAGCCAGCAAAAAGGAGGGGAAATGGGAAAAGATTACTTTTTCTGAGTATTACCACCTTTCTCGGAAAGCAGCCAAGAGTTTCCTGAAGGTAAATTTTGGATTTTTATATCAAATACCCAGACTGTGGTCTTTGGGATGACTGAGACTTACTTAATTATGTGTAAATATCTGTTCAATTTTATCTTTATATTAAGAATAATCTATACAGGTATTTTTGCAAGTGTTTTATAAAAATATTTCAGCAGGAATCTTGTGGCAGCCTTTCACTTAACAAATTCTGGGCATATACCCCCTTCCTGGTTTTTTTCCTCTCCCTCCTCCTCCTCCTCCTCCTCCTCCTCCTCCTCCTCCTCCTCCGCTGCCTTTTCAGCAATTGCAGATATTCAAGCCCTGATAATTTGGCCCTTCCTTTCTCATGAAGCCATAGCTGTTTTGATAAGTGAAGACAGCCGCCAATGCCCTTCTTTTTATTTTGACTAAGTAAGGCAAATAATCTTTAAACAGCAAGAAATTACATGGTGTTTAGAAAAGCAACAACAAGCAGCTAAAACCAGAGACCCAGCCTGAAAGTTGGCATGGGTAACAATTCTGTGCTAAATGACCTAGAAATTATGCATGCCAAGCTAAATGAGAAAGGGGAGGGGGGAGAAATTAGCAAAGTTCACATCTCAGTGGGAAAAAAGGACTTTCTCTTTCTTTCTAAAAATGTTGACTGTATTGTTCCTTTTTTCCCCAAGCTTGGCCTTGAACGATTCCACAGTGTTGCGATTCTGGGTTTTAATTCTACAGAATGGTTCATTTCGGCTGTAGGAGCTGTTTTTGCTGGGTAAGATTGGAAATGTCCTCCTTAGGGATTTACAGAGGAAGATCTCACACAAATAAGCTCGTGGCCAGGGAAGATGGGCTGAGGTAACTACTTGTTTAGTTGGAGTCCCCATCTTGGCCAGGTTCACTGCAGGTGAGGGGAGCTGGAGAGGTGTCAGCAGGTCCAGAGGTCAACAAATTACAAGCTGTTGGGTATTTCTCACAAGCAAGCTGCATTAAATGCAAGGGATTGTTGAAAAGTTAAGTCTGCAAGTTGTGCACAAGTCTTGATGATGGTGTGGAAATGTCCATCAAATTTTTGTAAGCGAATTGCCACTGACTTCTCTCAGTGTTTCTCAACCTTGACTACTTGAAGATGTGTGGACTTCAACTCCCAGAATTCCCTAGCCGGCTGTCTGGGGAGTTTTGAGAGTTGAAGTTCATATATCTTCAAGCGGCCAAAGTTGAGAAACATTGGTTTAGATTATAGTCTGGGATTTCTAACTAGTTTCCCATCCAAACACCCAGTTTCAGTCCTCCTATCAACGCTGCTAACATCGGATGTTCTTGCTTTGACAACAGGTGGAAATGTAGCCATCTTTTCTCTTTCGCTTTTAGAGTTAGATGATGCTGGGAAGCGGGATGTGAATGAGAGTCCAGTTAGTCATAACAACAATAACTCAGCCATGGGAATCAAGGTTATTGAGCCCAGAACTGATAAAGATTTGGCAAGCTGGGGAGAAAGCCCGTGCTTCAAACTAATTGGGGAATGTGATTTATGACTGTTAATTGGAGGAGGGAATTGTGCTTTGCTACTTTGCAGGGGGGGGGTTCAGTTTTTGGCTTTAACTATGTAGTGCCGATGCTTTGTTTCTTGAATAAAAGATTCTTTAGGGTAAACAATGCCTCAAAGTTCTTTTAAAAAGTTTCATCTGTCGGAACCATGACAACTACTTTTGAGGTCAGCCATGTCGGCTGGGCCCTATTCACTAATTTAAAATAAATCTGTGAACTCCTATAATTGTTGTAAGACCTTGTTTTTCAAGCTGGGAAATATTAACTCACTTGTACGATTTGACATGCTTGTCATTAAAAGGAAAAGTTTATTTCCACTCATCTTCCAAACAGTGGCATTGTGACCGGGATCTACACCACTAGTTCTCCAGAGGCTTGTCATTATATTGCTCATGACTGCAGAGCTAATATTGTAGTGGTGGAAAATCAGAAGCAGTTGGACAAGATAATACAGGTAAGGAACTTGCTGCTAGAATTCAACCTGTTTGAGAATGTCAGCTTGACTTTATTTATATCTATTTATTCGTGAATTTATTTGCTGGGCTTACATTTGTTGATTTGTTAGATTTATGTTCCACATTTTGCTGCTCCAATCAATGTCAGCTTAGAGCAGTTCATATTACAGATTTGAAACTGACTTCAAGACTCAATAAAATTGGCTGTAAAGGATTAACGTGGACTGTACTCAGTTGTGAAACAAACTCAGGTTTGTACATCATTAAACTGGAACATGGTTTCTTTGCTTTTGGCTTAGGTGTCAAGTGAACTCGGGCGTTATGGTTAGTTAACTGCCATTTATAGCTTAAATGTTAAATATAGAGCAAACTTTAGAACTTGTTCCACAATTCCTTTTCTGCAATGTGTAAAACACACTGGACAATATTCTCTAAGTTTATAAATATAATGCAGAAATGAAGCTTTTATCATTTTAATATTTTTGGTTTACGTGGTAATATTCATCCGTCTGATTTCTTTTAAGTTGAGTTGGAATGTTACATTTTTTGTTCCGGTATAGCATTATCCATAATACAAGTAAGACTTCAAAAAAATCTTAAACTTTACACAGATCTGGGATCGTTTACCGTACTTAAAAGCTGTCGTGATGTATAAAGATCGTGTGTCTGAGAAACATCCCAATTTGTATACGGTATGTAAAATCATGATAACTCAAGTAATTCATCCATTTTAGTTGCCTTGTTAATTTTAATTCCATTCTCCTTCCCCATTGCTGGGATTTCTGTAGATGGTGAAAAACAGTTGCAAGAGGAAATATTAATACTTAGAGCAAGACAGAAAAGGAGAAAACCTCTGCAATATCTGGTTGAGCGTATGCATAGTGCTTAAACATCAAAAGATGCTCTTATGAATTATGAAACGTGGAGATGCTTAAATGTCAAGCACAATTTATTGGTTAAGAAATCATGGTCTCTGTCCTCAACATGTAAGGCTGTCCTTCCCTGCCCTTTGCATTCACCAAAGCGACAGTATCCTAGTAATGGAGAAAGGATTTCTTCCCAGACATGTTGACACTTCAGGCTGACACTTCACACTTCATCATCCTGACCAAACTGACACTGTCCTTCTTTGAAGTGTTAATGGGTGTGCTCCCAGTTGCCTGGGTGCTGTTTCTTGGCCAGCTCATGTCTCAGCGTCAGGTTTCCAGTTCTATAGATGCTTCTGTTCTAAAACTCTGGGAGTTGGACCCAAAAAACCAATGGGAGGAGGCTCACAGGAGCCTTCCTCAAATGGTTCAAATGGCACGTGTGAAGTTATATGTCCTGTGGCTGCTCGCTTGGTGCGTTTACCCAGTAAAAGCTTCCTTAGATTTAAACTCACATTGTTCGTTCAAGGAGAGAACAAGTCCTTTGAAGATCCCTCAAGAATCCTTGTAGTTCTTCCTTGTCCTATCTCAAATTTTCTCGATTTCTAGTTCCTTTATTGTCCTTGGGTGCAAAGAGAGGGAAGTTGATGCACTGGAAGAACTTTAAAAAAAAAAAAATCTAGAATAAAAAAAACCACTTAGTAGACCAGGATGCAAAATTAGAAAGGTGGGTGGACAATAATTGAACTTATAATCTTTCCCTACAAAAATGTATTCCAACTTTCCCTCCAAGTGTTATTACTTTAGCAGCCTATTTGACGAATTATATGCACCCTACGTAACATAAGCAGGGGTTTAGTCTCCCGAGCCCAACTGGGGTATCCAATGGAAATTCAATGGACTTACTGCAGAGCAAGCCTATGCATGGCATGGCCGTATCAATAGTGTATTGCAAAAGCCTTTAATGCGCTATAGAAAGATCAGCGTGCCTGGTGAAAATAAATACAGAAAGATTAACAACTATATTGTGATGAAGACTTGGGCATCATAGGGATCTTCGTCTCTGCCCTGTAGATGGATGAATTCATGGAGTTGGGAAACGAAATTCCAGATGGACAACTTGATGCTATCATCAATTCCCAAGAGGCAAACCAATGTTGTGTCCTGATCTACACCTCTGGGACGACAGGAGAGCCCAAAGGGGTCATGCTGAGCCACGACAATGTAGGTATTCTAACTGTGTCCGCATCCATAAATGTTAACAACAGCAAATTAGACCCCACAATTGTTTTTGTTGGGTATTGTTTCTGATTGTGATGCAAAGAGATTATTTTAATATTGAATTTAATTACAGCGGCAAGGTTGTTAATAAGGCAATATTGGAAGAAGGAATCTTTGCCTACTTTGCAGGAATGGTTTTTTAAAGTTTCTTATTTAGCTGAAATGGCAAAAATTTCGGCTTTTTTGAAAGATCAATCGCAAGAGAAGTATCTCTTAGTGTGGAAAAGATGGATAAATTTTATACAATATAAGTATGATATAAGAAAATACTATTTAGCTTTTGAATAATTTATATTTAAAGTTTAAGATATTATTTAGAAGTGTAGAATAGTTTTTTTATTATTATTATTATTATTATTATTATTTTCTTCTTTTTCTCTTTCTGTTTTTTATATATAATGGAGTTAAAATATTTAATAATTTGTTTACTGAATGTAATTATACTTGTTTGAGGTTTATTTGGGTTTAAAAGTTTTTTCTTATAAGTTATAGTTAACCCTGTATTCAGTTCTGGGAAGAATGGGGGAGGGTTTTGGGGTGGGTTGGGAGGAATTGGGGAAGGGGTTTTTATTGTAAAATTGTAAAAATTTATAATAAAAAAAACACACAAAAAACCCAGCAAATTAGAAACAAAACTAAACCCTCGGAGCAAAATTTAATGCAATGATAATTCCTTTATGTGATTAATTTTGCATGGAAGATTTATTAAGGTTTGAAATAAAGGGATTAAAATATACAGAAAGTAATCTACAATGAAAAAAAAGATCTAAATGCTGAAATGCTTTAAAAAAACGGCACTAGAACAAAGTTCATATTTCCTCTGGAAGTCAAAAGGTAGTAGAGAAACGAAAAAGGCATTTTTGGCTTGGTTTTTCCATGCCAAGTATGTAGTGAAATAAATGCTGGCCATTGATTTAGTGTCGGGATAACACAGAAAAGTGCATTTTTAGTACAACAGAGAGATTGTAATGCAACAAAAGGCCATATTTCTACTTCTCCCTAGCCAGGGCCCAAATGTGCCCTGCCAACAGCTTGGTCTTTTTGCCAGCTCGGGAGTGAAAGAGATTCCTCTGTCCTTGGCTGAACTGGTATAAATCATGTTTTCTCTTTTATTCCAATGCTGCAAAGGCATCTCATCACGCTGGAGAGAGGTCAGGGGGCTGGGAAGTGAGACAGCTGGGACAGGAGAGAGGTGGGCCAGGAGCACGGAGAAAATCCTGCCAGAGATTTTGGCTGCCTCACGAAAGGCTGGAGAGCACTTCAGGTTGACAGTGGAGGGAGGTTCCTTAGTCATGTCCGGTGGAAGAAATGTCTTTTGCCGCAGGGATCTCCAACCTTGGCAGCTTTAAGACTTGTGGACTTCAATTCCCAGAATTCCCCAGCCAGGACGGGTTAAAAGGGACCTTGGAGGTCTTCTAGTCCAACCTCTCCTTGAGCAGGAGACCCTATACCATTCCTGGCAAATGACTGTTCATCCCTTCTTTAAAATCTCCAGTGAGGCAGCACCCACCACTTTTGGAGATGGTTCAAAGCCCAGTAGAGGTGATCTTATTGATAGAAGAGAATATTTGTGTTCTCTCCTTGTTGAGTTAGTCTTCTCCAAACAAAACAAAACAAAACAATTCATGGACAAGAATTGAAGTTGGTGACCAGTAATAACTTCTTCTCTGTGTAAGTTCAAGCTTGTCAACTGGCTATTCCTGATTTCCATATGTAGGAAGGCTATTTTTATTATCTCCCTCACTGTGGAAAGCATCTGTTGTAGGCCCTCACTGTTGAGGCCCCTTTTATTAAAAGATGATCCACTTTAAAGGGAGATCAAATTCTGCCCAAGAATTTGGCCACTTTGGCGCTGCTTTGATGACGCAGAACGGCATATCTGGATGTGGAGGAAACAGTATTATTTACTGATTTGATGTCTGTCCCTGTTCTGGTTGATCTCTGTCGTAAGTCGAGGACTTCCTGTACAGTTCTGGGTTTAACTGTTTCCTAACAGCTACCAGGAGGGAGCTAGTCAGATCCTGGCGGGAGACTGAAACTTCTTGCTGAGGAAAGAGTAGAACTGCTGCAGAAAGGTGCCCCTAATTCTCAACCTTTGCAGGCAGTCCAGCGAGTTACCACGGTTGATGGTGTCTGAAGCTCTTAAGACCATGATTCTCAACCACTTAAAGATGTATGGCCTTCAACTCCCAGAATTCGCCGGCCAGCATGGAGGTTTTCCAGAAGAGATTGGACAACCATTTGTCCAGAATAGGATAAGGTCTTCTGCTCGAACAGGGGGTTGGACTAGAAGACCTCTAAGGTCCTTTCCAACCCTATAATCCCAGGAGGGATGTTTCACCAACATAGAGCAAATCCTACTCTGCAGCCCAGTCAGCTGGAGAGATCTGCAGCCAGACATCCAAACAGTTAGTATAAAGTTGAGGATAAATTCATGGAGGGAAGTTTAAGCACAGCTTTTATGTAGGACGGATTCTGCACAGCTCATTCATGCTCAGCGGGTTTGCAGCAGACAGGATGTAAAAAAGGTACGGAGAGGCAGAAGGGAAGATGAGCTTCATCCTATTATGAAACAACGGCTACCATCTAGGAGAGTTTTATTTATTTTGTTTATTAAACAAATGTATATAACTGCCCAGCACACACATAGGGTGATTCCAAGTGACTTACAAAATTCTTTGGAAGGAAAAGTGCTGAAGGGAGCTGATGTGACCAGGGGAATTAAAAAAAACAAAACCAAGACCCTTGGTTCAGGGCTTTAATTCTTTTCAATTTCTTTTTAAAAATCTGGACAGGTTACCTGGACATCTGCCCACGCCAGTCGAGCAGGAGATGTGCAACCAGCTGAAATCCAGCAGGAAAAGATTGTCAGCTACCTGCCCCTGAGCCACGTTGCTGGGCAGATGTATGATCTCTGGACTGGGATCAAGTGGGGCGAAGAGGTTTATTTCGCACCACCGGATGCCTTGAAGGTCTTTCTGCGGGGTTTGGGGGCCAACTTTATTTTCCACATAGTTCTCCATCTTCCATAAGATGCATTCTGTACTTTTCAGCAGGATAGGGTGAGAGGTCCTCTGGGGACTCCCTTAGAGAAATAATAAGGGAAAAGTAGGGTGGGCATACATTATAGGTGACAACCTGGTTTATCTCATCAGCAGTTTTAATTAATCAGTCCCAATCACGGGAGGATTCATTACCAATAGAGTATTTGTAGCTCAGGGTTGAACTGTGGGGTCCTTAGTGCTCTCTGAGCTTAGTGGCTTTCTTGTTTCATGATCCAAGTAGGTAACAACATCGGTGTTAGAAGGGAGAGGAGGAGGAGGAGGAGGAGGAAGAGGAGGAGGCCCTTGGTGCTCTCTGAGCTTGGTTGTTTCCTTGCAGACATTTCGTTACCCATCATCATTGCTTGAAGGGAGTGAGATTTTCTCTCTAATCTGACCTGTTGACTTGGGAGTTGGCATGGAGTGGGCATCCCTGGTCTCTTCAAACTTAGCCTTCACTCTTAATCTCCCCTCTTTGGCCTTCACAGGGAAGCTTGGTTGAGGTCCTCAGAGAAGCATTGCCCACTTCACAAATGGGAGTACCCCGGGTGTGGGAGAAGATGATGGAGAAGATCAAGGAGGTGTCTTCTCAGACTGGATTGCTGAAGAGGAAGACACTATCTTGGGCCATGTCGGCCACTTTGGAACAAAACCTAAGCTGCTCAAATAGGTGGGTACTCTAGGAACCTGGGTTGGGGGGGAAAGGATTAACTATTACAAAGCACAAACAGCAAGGAAAAATAAACCCCTAATCTTGTGTTTCTTAACCTTAGCTGCTTTAAGATGAATGGACTTTATCTCCCAGAATTCCCCAGCTGGCGTCCCCAACCAAGTTCATTCATCTTAAAGCATGCAAGGTTAGAAAACACTGCCTTCACTGAAGCAATGCCTTCATTAGATGTTCGAGTCTAGCTGCAGATCTTTGTAGCTCCACAAATGATTCAGTTTGTGCAGGATAACTTGCAAAGCTTCGTGGAGTAAATAGCCTCTGGCAAACCACTCTCTTTTCTTGGGCACATCTGACATCCTTTCCTTGAAGGACCAGATAGGCAAAACGCAGCGGTTATTTGTGAATGTATTCCTGAAACAACACCAAGTTGGCGTGAATGGGTTTGTTTGATATCGCTGTTTAAGACTGACGTTCTTTGTCCTCCTCTCTATCCACGTTGCATCACCTTGAGTCTCTTTTTTTCTCAATCGCGGACAAGGGTCACTTGGCTCCTCCCCATCTCACCTTGGACCTTTTGTATCTTTGTAGGGACTCTAAGCCCTTCTGGATGAGGTTGGTGGACTCTTTGCTCCTGGCGAAGATCCGCTGGGCGCTGGGCCTTTCCCAGTGCCAGAAGCATTTCTCCGGGGGTGCTCCTCTCCCTGAGGAAGTCTCCCACTTCTTCCTTGGCCTGAACATCCCTATTTATGAAGGGTACGGGATGAGCGAAACCTCCGGTCCCTTTTGCTTATCTGGGCCACACGTTTATCGACCCAACAGGTAAAGTTCCGGCCTATTCTCCTTAAGAACCCCCACCAAAGAAACCTTGAAATTTAGGCTGCAGGTGGTGAGAGACTGGGTTGGGGGCATCTCCAAAGATAAGCATGGGAAAAGGTATTTGGGATGATTCCCTGCCATCACTGGCATCTACACTCTGTGTGTGAGTGTGAAATGTAGCTTCACACAAAATTGTGAGAGTTCGGTCCTTTACATCCGACTCCAGGGCTACACTCTGCAATTAAAGACTGCGCAGCTGCATTTTTACAATGTATGATGCTTATTTTTCCTTATGCCTGAGCTTATTTGTGCTTAGTATATTGGCAAATAAAAGCATTGGTATGATTTAGTAACTCTGTTAAGCCCACTGTGAAATCCCATGCTTTATTTATTTGGAATTCCTTGGAGACTCAAGAGCAGTCTTTCTCAACCTTGGCAACTTGAAGAGGTGTGGGCTTCAACTCCCAGCATTCCCCGGCCACACCTGGGGAATTGAAGTCCACACTTCTTCAAGTTGCCACGGTTGAGAAACATTGCTCTGAAGCAAGATTGGAGAAAAGGCAGACCTGCTTTCCCGTATATCTAAGACCATTTCTCCTTGGAAGTATTTGGGACAATCTCATAATGTATCCGGAAGCTGTTGAGTGCCAGAGCTTCAATATTTTAAAAATCAAGCAAATGTACAATTGCAATTTAAATAAAAACTGTGGGTCTGGTCTGGTCTGGTCTTTTCTGGCCATCCTTATGGGAATTCCAGGCTGCTGCAGAAAAAGGCAATGCTCACATCTTCTGAGCACGGTGTTGAAACTCTAGTTTCTTCTGTACATCCTTTCCTTGCAGCTGTGGCAAGGTTGTCCCAGGCTGCCTCGTTAAGATAGTGAACAAAGACGAGCACGGCAACGGGGAGATTTGCTTTTGGGGACGGCCTGTCTTCATGGGCTATTTGAACATGGAGGACAAGACCAGGGAAGTGATTGACCAAGATGGCTGGTTGCACTCTGGAGATCTTGGAAAGATGGACAAGGATGGATTTGTTTATGTCACCGGAAGAATTAAAGGTGGTGCCTCTTTGGTGTATTTTGTAGAGCCTGAAGTTCTCCAGATGTTTTAGATGGCAGTTTCCATAATTCTTTCCCATTGGCCAGACTGGCTGCAGCTTTAGTCTCATGCATCTGGAGATTGCCTTGCCCTACTTCATTTCCTTTCAGCTGTCCAGGTTGTTAAATACTCAGGTGCTTCTTCTCCCCAATACTTTAATACCAAATTTCAAGCTCCATCATTGATGGAAGCTGCCCTCTTTCGGCCATCTTGCAGAAGTTTCCGAAGAATCTCTTAGCATTCCTTGAGGCCCAGCGCAGCTTCTTTGTTATGGAGGGATTCTTGCTTGATGGGAGTGCTTAGGTTTCAACTAAATCAGACAAGTAGCAGCAAGAGCTACACTGTATTTCCTAAAATTCAGGATAGTCTTTGTTGAAGTAGATAATGTTGGTTGAGGTGGATTGGGCAGTTTCTTATACATAGGATGGCCAAGAGATTCTGCATGAGAGCATAGCAAACCTTCACTTTAACAGACAGCTTAAATTTTGCATGCAACTGATGGATTTTCCATCTGGATACAAGTCTGCTGTATGCAAAGTAGCCAGTTTGAAGCATTCACGTTTAATTTTACACACTTTTTACTGCTTTACGAGTTTATGTCTTGATCTGGACGAAATCTGTGTTCATTCATGCAATGTGCCTTGCACACTGATTGATGCAAACGATATCATGATTCAGTTGACATCGTTTGCAATTTGAATGGACATTTGGCGAGGAGGTGGGTGGAAAGGACTAGTAGTTCATTAACTTGAGCTTTCACTGAAAATGCCAATGGGGTCATAGAGAAGTATTTGCAAGGAGGCTAGTCCATCTTCCCTATCCCAGATGCAAGCCTAGGCTAACCATGAGATGTATTTTTGAGCTGAGCATCGATGTTCTGTATTCTTAGAGCTGATTATTACAGCTGGGGGTGAGAATATCCCTCCAATCCCACTGGAAGAAGCTGTCAAGAAGGAGCTGCCACTTGTTAGCAACGCTGTATTGATTGGCGATCGGAAGAAGTTCTTATCCATGCTGCTGACCTTAAAGGTACATGATGAAAATAGATTTGAGGCTGATTAATACTCGGATGCGTATTTGAAACATGGGCCTTTTTCTCTTTCATGGCTGCCTCGATGAGATGAACAATTTCACCCCGTTTTGGATTCACACAACATCTTGGATTAAAGTCCAGCCAACTGGACTAGGTCACTCAACACTCAACCCACCCAAGCTTAGGTTTTGTTAAATGCGCGACCACTCGGTTTTGGTTTGTCGTGGTTAAAGGTGTGGCGTGTAATTTGTTGTCATTGTCAGTGTTCAGTGGATCCTGATACATCGGAACCCACCGACTACCTGACCCAGGAAGCCGGAGACTTCTGCCAAAAAGCCGGAAGCAAAGCCACACGGGTGTCTGAAATTGTGCAGACGAGAGACCACGCTGTTTACCGGGCTGTGCAAGATGGCATTGACCGCATCAACAGGGGCGCCCTCAGCAACCCTCAGCGTATTCAGAAGTGGGCCATTTTAGAAAAAGATTTCTCCATTTCTGGGGGAGAATTTGGTGAGTTTACGGTGAATTCTTATTTGGGGGCGGGTGTATGGGACTGTTTCCCATTCTGAGCTGGAAATGTAGATTGGTAGGGAAGGCGACTGCTTTCTGAAGCAGAGAATAAACTCCCTCAAATTGCAGAAAATTAAATTCAAGCTCTTTCTCCTGGGCGTAGAACCTCTTAAGTCAGTGGTTCTCCACCTGTGGGTCGGGACCCCATTTGGGGTCGAACGACCATTTCATGGGGGTCGCCAAACAATGCAGTCCGCCATTTTTTCCCCCTTTTCCTTAGCTGTGCTACTCCCTTTTATTCTATTGGCTTTTGAAAGCCAATAGAATAGACCAGTGGTTCTCAACCTGTGGGTCAGGACCCCATTTGGGGTCGAACGACTATTTCACGGGGGTCGCCAAACAAGGCTGTCCGCCATTTTTCCCCCCTTTTCTTTGGCCACGCCCCTGGCACCCGGTGATGTATAAGTGGTTGGGGGTCACCACAACATGGGGGACTGTATTATGGGGTCGCGGCATTAGAAAGGTTGAGAACCACTGTCTTAAGTCAAACTTGGCCACTTTAAGACTCGTGGACTTCAACTCCCAGAATTCCCCAGCCAGGCCAAGTTTGAGGACCTCTGACTTAAGTGATATACAACCTGAATTAAGATCTATCATTTTTTATTCTTTCCCCAAGAACACTCCTAATGACCAATTCCGTTCCCTTTTTCAGGTCCATTGATGAAATTAAAGAGGCAAACCGTGATTGAGAAGTACCAAAAGGAAATTGAAGCTTTTTACAAAGACTGAAGTTGAGTTGCCTAGGCTCTGTCAGGACAAGAAATCTCGTCAGCTTCCTTTGTAGAGAATTAACTGTTCCTATGCAAACATTACACTGAAAAGGTAGGAACAGTTTTTGCAGTTGGGGTGGAAAGCATCTACTCTGTGACGTCTCAGTGTTACTTTCACTTTAGCAACCAGAAAGACCAAGTCAGCACTCCCAAATACATTCTAATTAAGCTGTCCCTCGAAAATGCTTTTAAATCACACCGTATCTTGATTTATTCGGAATGCCCCCAGGAACTATTCAATTGCATGGAGAAAAGTCATTTTTTAAGCCAGCTCTGGAGAAAAAAAAAAAAAACATACATCAAATGATACAAGCATTTTGTAAAACAGAAACTGGTTAAAACTTTTTAGGGGTACCCTAAAATGTACCCATGAAACTCTCTGCAATGAGCCATAATAGTTTCAGACAGTGCTGTTGTTTTTATTAAAAGCTCTTTTTACTGCCCTATTCCACATGGCTCTAGGTAGATTATTTTATTCAACAAAATGATACTTTTCCACGATTCCAGATGATTTTTTTCTCTAGCCTTAGTAGTTTTCATTGAGAAATTTGAAGACTTTCCATGATTCGTGACAAAGCTTGTTGCCCCAATACCTTGCTTAGACTTAATGTCCTTCCTGGAATCAGTCTGGGATCTTGCAGAGATAAAAGAGGGAGATAGATGCAAAATAGATTGTCGGAGCATTTTAAACCTTCAATTCTTATTAAAAGAACAAACAAACAAAGAAAGAGCAAGAAATGTCTTTGTAAAGTCTTTTATTTTCCTCTCGTTATGCATAAAATGGCAGGCCCCCACCTCACGCCGCGGTACAGACGCAAAAGCACACATTCGGAAAAGGTAGTTTTTCCCAGATTTTGAGCCCGTACCGAGATATGACTGCATTAAACACCATGCAGAATCACACACAGGATAAAGCTGGCTGCCTCACGGCTACTTCTCGGATTGGTGAGAACACTGAATGGGAATTCGTGGTAGCAACACAAGCAGTTCTGCTGGTCTGACTTCAATGCGAATGAACACCCCCCTCCCCTCCCCCAAATCCCACCAAGCTGGAGGTTGGCAATCCTGGTTAGATGGGTGGTCCTGCTGTAGCTTGCAGCTCCAATTTGGAAACAAAATGGGAATGTGCCACAAGTGACAGAAGCCGGGCAGGGAATCAGTGCAAGACGTTATTAAGACAGGGGTGTCCCACTTGGCACTTTTTAAGACTTGCAGACTTCAACTCCCAGAATTCCCCAGCCAGCATGGCTGTCTAGGAGATGAAGTCCGCAAGTCTTAAAAGGTGCCAAAGGTGGATCACTCCTGTGCACCACAATGTACTACTTAAGGAAAGGCCAACAGGACTTCCAAGAATTTCCAAGGAAAAGAGAGAAAAATTCCACCTTTCCTTTAGGAAGGATTGGAAATAAACTTGGCAGCAGAAATATTGATGCTTTCATACCCAGCATCTCTGCAATTCCTCTCTTCCATCAACATCTGTTCCCACAAGACAAAGTCAGATTCCCCTTCAAGGACATTGCATTCGTCGATCCCTGTGCAAGAGGAGAAAACTCCCAGCTTAGCAGGCATTTTGCATTGGCTCACATTACCTGGGACAAAAATGAATCAAGCAACCGTCAGCGTTCTCCCATGTCGTTCCACCTCACACCAAATACAGTTCTGATTTCTTTTTTACTGTAGTGCCTTGAAACCCAGTTCATTGCACAGTAATGCACTGAAATATAACCTAAAGCTCTATAAACTTCAAGCACGATACAAATGGCCTGCAGATACATAGCAACCCCAAAATATATATTTGATATTCACCAAGATAAAGATTTAAAAAATAAAGCATTAGCGTTCCCTTCATAATCAGCGGCAGACAAAGGCAATTGGTAGAACGGATCAGCGCTGGAAAATGCTAGAGCAAGCAAGAGATGTATAAAAAAAAAATACTGAAGCTGAAACAGGTTAACATGGTTAAGTTTTACCGCTGAATGGTATTCCTTCTGCCCTTAAAATCTGGATACTTGACATTTTATGTGCAATAGTTGAAATGCCCACAGTTTCAAGTCTTTAAGCTTTGGAAGGGCAAGTTCCAGGTGTTAGTAATAAAAAAAAAAGTTATTTCCAAAGGAAAAAAATATTCTGTGCTATTTGAAGGCCAGGAAGCTGCTTAAGGACAGCTTGAGGAGTGTCTTCTCCTGCTGGGGGGAGCGTTTCTGGAAAGTGGAAGAGTCTGAAATGCAGGGGTAGCTAACAATTTCATTGTTTCAAGCAATGGAAATGGAAAGGAGTTTATTTCTAGAAAAAGAAGAGAAATGGATCTGACATGTAATAAATAACAGCATCCTTTAGGGGGGATTGAAACCAGGGGGACACGGAGAAGATGTCTATTCCATGGCTCTGACTCTGCGACAGATCTCTGCGGTGAACTCTGAACACTTGGCTTTGCCTCCCAAATCTTTGGTCAAGACCTAAAATTGGGAAAGGGAAATGAAATTTTGCTCATTGTGCATGGAACTTAAGATCATTTAGGAACGGGAAAGAAGACAAGGCTGCCTGATCTAATTTTTTTACCGCCAGATTTACAGGGCACCCAGAAATAAAGATTCTGTTTTATAGTATTTGTACTGAAAGCCAGAATAAATTCCCAGTTCCTGCTTTTGAGTCCCTGGCACGAAATGCAACTTTTGGCATCTTGTCACCTGATGCTCATCATTTATACAGTAGAAATAGCAAAGGGTGATAAAACCACCTAGTCCAGGGGTGGGCAATTATGATGACTTTACGACCAGTGGACTTCAACTCCCAGAATTCCTGAACCAGCCAGAATTCTGGGAGTTGAAGTTTACCAGTCGTACAGTTGTACAGTTGTCCACCCCTGATGCTGGCTCAGAAATTCTGGGAGTTGAAGTCCACTAGTTGTAAAGTTGCTATATAGCTGCCCACCCCTGACCTAGTCAATGCCTAACTAATTTTGGAAAAAGTGCTGTGATTTCAGATATGGAAGGCCTGAACCTAAATAAACAGGCATTCAATCCCAGAATGGGCCCCAGCTGAATCCCAAAGTCACCTCAGTTTGGTGAACCTTAGCAAAGTCTACCTTCTGGTCTTTGATGGTCTCAAAGCAAGCCGTTTCTATTTTCATGGCAAAGTCTTGCATTTCCATGTGACGCAACATCATGACAGCACTCAAGAGAAGCGCCGTTGGGTTGGCCAAGTCTTTTCCGGCAATATCCGGAGCTGTTCCGTGTACCTGCAAAGAGAAGGCATTCTCATCCCCCCTGACCAATCGCTACCCCGCCCCAAAGGCAAGTCTAACAAGATAAGACCTTACCGATTCAAAGATTGCAACTCCGTTAGCACCAATATTCCCACTAGGAGTCACACCAAGACCCCCGATTAAGCCCGCGCATAGATCACTGGAAGAAAAACACACAAGCACAGGGATGAGAAGGGAGAAAGGACAATTAGCCTTGGCAGTGGAAATTATTTGATAACCCCCACTGGAGAACCCCAAGCTCTGTAGCAGGGAAGTAAAATCAGGTTGCACCAGAGCAGAACGTTTGGAAGGGGAAGTTGTGGAGACATCTCCCACCCGGATGGACCACAATCAACTCAAAAGCTACTTGCCTAAGTATGTCCCCATACAAATTGGGCATGACCAGGACATCAAACTGAGATGGATCCTGCACCATCTGAAGAAAAAAAGAAAGAAAGACAAGTTAATAGTTGTTTTTAACACAACCAGAACAGTGGTTACTTAAATCAGGGGTGCCCAATTATTCCGTGGACCAGCACCAATCTGCAGCATGCCACAAACCGGGCTGCAGACACAAGCAAAGCCCCATCCGTGGGATGCAGGCAGCAGGTGAAGCCAGGCTCCCTCCGATCCATGGAAAAACCTCTCTCCACGGAACCGGTCCCAAAAGATTGGGGGCCGCTGGCTTAAATGACTGATCATACATTATTTACTCACATTCAGACACACAGTGTCGAGGTACATTTCGTTAAATTTAATATCTTTACAGTTTTCTGCTGCTTCTCTACATTTTCTCAGAAACAAACCATCAGACATACGCCTGCAAATAAAGAAAAGCTTTAGAGGTTAGAGGTCCAGGCATGCAAACACAGTTTTTTTAATTTATTTACCTGTAGCTAATCAATTATAAAAGCTTTCTTTTAGTGAGTTAATTTGGAAAAGAGGAGAACAGAGATTGAGCCTAAACTGAATAATATCTGTCTGCCAAAAATAAGCCTCCAATGCACGTCTCTTTCTGACAATGTTTTGCAGTGGAAAACTTGACTTGATTAAAAAAAAGGGGAAAAAAAAGCAGTTAGGATTCTGAAAATTGGAATTAATGGTTGGAAAGGCCTGGAGTTATTTTATCACCACCTACATAATATTAGCTTTATGCACAGCCGTTACTTTGCTCCTCTGATTATTCCTGGCATATTCAAAAGCAAAGTCAGCAATCCGTTTGCTTGCGTCCTCGGTGATGAGTTTAATGCTCTGCACAACACCATCCACAATCTGAAAGACACACAAAGGTTAAGCGAGTAGCGAAAAAAGGTGGTTATGAAAAACTTGGAAAAAACATCTTCATCGTGAAAGAGAATTAAATGGGATTAAAAGTTAATTTCATTTAAGCATTTGTTAACTTCAAGCAGCCTGCGTGATCTGCACATGTGGGACGGCTAGCACGACTGTCTACTTGTTCCACGTACTATGTGCTCAATGCCACTGTATTCGCCTTCCGTGTTCTCTCGTATGGTGACGATGTCCACATCTGTGTAAGGGGTCTTGTAGCCCTCAATGGACACACAAGGGCGGATATTTGCATATAAGTCAAATGTTTTACGGAGCAGTAAATTCATGGACGGATGGCCAGCAGCTATGGGTGTTTTCAGAGGACCTGGAAAACAAGCAGAAGCACAAGAGATGTGGGAAAGTGCTCACTGGCAGCACAACATTAGGAAACTGGCAGTGAACCAAGCAACAATTTATTTTTTTTACAGCCACGCTAAAATGTGGTTTAAAAAAGAAACAAGAAATGGGAATTTGTCAGCATATATCAAAACTTTATATAGAGGAATTCAAGGATGGGGTTATTTCCAGAACTGCAGCAAAACTTAATTGTTCTTTCTTTCCATCCAAGTACCTTTTAATCCTATTTTGTTCTTGTCCATAGATTCTTTGGCATCTTGTGGTATCATCCACTTCCCTCCTGGCCCTTGGATGGCAGTCACGATTCTTTCTTCAAACTGAACAGGGACCTAAAGACATTTTTTTTTTGGGGGGGGGGGGCATTATCAACCACTCTGATTGTTGTCTTCAGAATTAGACAATTAAATTGCACTTTTAAAAACATCCGCAGAGCATCGAGCAGGAAAGTGCTATCAAGGAATAAAGCCACTGCTTATTCAGAAGGAATAACCAACCCAGGAAGCCATCCATGGCCAGGTTACCTTAGCAGCTTCAAAAATCTCCACCACAGCAGCAGAAATTTCAGGCCCAATACCATCTCCTGGGATCAGTGTTACCGTCTGAGGCTAGAAGAAAAATAAAATAAAAACAAACCCTCATCCACCAGATGCTATGCTTGAAATTGTGTGGACTTTAAATTCCTGGATCCCTCAGCCAGCATGGTCTTATTTTGGTATTCTATAACCCTCTTGTAAAGTATCTTTAAAAGAGGAGGGGAAAAAAAACTACACTAATATACTTACAGTACTAGCAAAATGTCTGGTCACCTGTTTCTGAATTCTGAACCCCTCAAGAAAACGCAGGACCTATAGCAATGAAAATAAGAATATAGTTAATTTTAGCAGCCAGACTAACAGAAAGCATCTGCTGTAGTATATCAGCACTGAATTTTAAACCAGTTAGATAGGGCTAATTCCCAATTTTGTTTATTTCTGTGCATGCATATGCTTTGTGTCTACTAGATTACAGTCCCTGAGCAAAGGAGCAGGAAGGTAAATTTACACATGGCAAGAACTGTGCTTATTCTTTACACCAAAGGAATTTGATCCAGCTTTTTCAAATGCAGAGATTAAACAAGACAGATGATCATCATATCACTGAAAATGGCAATAATTTTATTTTATATTGTAAGGTTTTCCACTTAGCCTCACAACTGCCCCAGCGTTACTCAGGAATTTAAAAGAGCCAAAGAAACTCCTGGGCCGAGGTTTCAACAAAGATTACAACTTCATTTTGATCAAAACAGAGAGGGGCCGCCTGATTCCTCTTCGTGGCTGGTAGAGGAATGAAGGCAACAACCAGAAAAGATGTCTTCCACCTTTTATACCTTTCCAGAATAAAAAGATCAGGTCTTGGTTCCAGGCATAAGATGGCACAAAAAAATAATTCTTAGATGATGACTCGCACACAGCAACCCAGGCTCCATCCGTAACTTCTTTCCCCCCTCCCCATACTGTGCTCTTTTCATGTAAGCCAGTGTTTCTCAACCTTGACAATTTTAAGGCATGTGGACTTCAACTCCCAGAATTCCACAGCCAGCATTGCTGGCTGTAGAATTCTGGGAGTTGAAGTCCACATGCCTTAAAATTGTCAAGGTTGAGAAACACTGATGTAAGCAATCACCTGAACCTAAAGCATGAAGCCCTTACTTTTCCAATATATATATATATATAAAGCATAATAAATAATTATTAATAATATCCAGCAGACAATGTTCAGCAATCCTTTCTCCAAAGAGTGGGGGGTGTCACATCTGCCCCCCGACCCCAATGCAGCCAGGGGGGAACCTTGCAAGCAGTCCTCCACCCCTTCCTCCTGGCCTACCCCACGGGGTTGTTGTGAGGACGCAGCCAGCTGGGGGAGGATCAGCCTAACTAAGAGGCAAGCAGGAAGGGCAGAGGCTCCCACCGGGCTGCAGGTTACAGGCCTACAACTCCCAGCAACCTCTCGGCCTGCCGCGGAGGCTGCTGGGAGTTGTGATTCGGTCCCATCGCAAGCGCCGAAGACCGCGCTCGACTCAAGACCCTGTCGGACTACAGGTCCCAGCAACCCCCGCGCGTCCAACAAGGGAAAGGCCTGCCGGGAGTTGTGGTTCCGGGCTCCGCGAGACTCCAAGGGCGTCCCCGTCAAAGGGCGCCCAAGCGGGAGTCACGGAATGCCCCCCCCCGCCGGGACGGGCGGAACAGCCGAAATCTCGCGAGACTTCCCACCGGTCCACCCGGGGGAGCCTCCTGAGGGAGAAGCCAAGGTCACCTCAGGGCCCGCCTCACCTTCGGAACCCAGGAGGACGTAGCCATGGCCATGGGAGCGGCGGCGGCGGCAGCAGCGGCGGCGGCGACCCTTCCACCTCCTCGCCGGCTCGGCCCGGCTTGACGCTCACGCCGCTGGTCGGAAGGCAAGGAATCGCCCGCGGCCTCCTCGCCGGCGCTGCGCTGGGGATGCGCCGGCCAATCGGCGCCCGCCGACTACCCCGGGCTGGCAGCGGATTGGTGGGAAGCGCGGAGGACTACGCCCCGTCCCACCTCCGCAGAGACCGGGGAGGTGCCTCTCCTGATTGGTCGGCCCGTCACGTAGAGCTGTTGGGGGCGGGACTATGCAAAGGACTA